AAGAGAACACCACACTGCAATTGGCCGTAGTCAAATTCCTGCCAACGACGACTATCCACCTCTCGGAACGGATCGAGGTCTGCTATTGTGCGCCGGCAGCTTTGGCTGCTATCAGGAGACACTCCGCGAGGGTGGTAAACGACTTGACTGGTGTCTGTTGCAGTTCAAGCATTCCGACAGGTTTTCGACAATAGTCGTCATCCTGGACGACTGTGCGGTATGGGTTGCGCTGTCCCTCAGATGGTCGAGAATGAGCCAAGATCGCGAAGCAAAGCACTGCAAGAGTATGGAGCGATGAGCAATCATTTCCTAAAACAAGGACGTCGACTTCCGACAAAGCCGCGGTCCACGAGTCATGAGATAGCTCAATCAATAAACAAGTCAATCAATCAAGCGCAGCGCACGAAGCCAGCACTGCGTACACTTCGGTTATCCCTAATCGTGCCTCGTAAGGTCGACGAACCAACAAACTTTACACCTGCATGCTGCTAGCAAGCCGGTACAACAGAATAAGCGGGGCTTCCCTGCACAAGAGTGTTTGCTCGAAGCTAGGTATTGAAGCATTCGTGGACCGTTCATTTCCCGGGACTTGGATCCGGTCTTGGATATGGAGCGGATGCACTGGGGATTCTGAGCGATCCTTGGCGCAGGTGGTCTACTCTCCGGGCTGGGGCCGTTTGCCATGCCGTCAAAACAGCGTTATTGTGACTGTGAGAGAACGGCACATGACACTTGACACATGCGACACCCTGGACATCACTGCATAGCACCTGCCTTTTGAGGATACCTGCCTCCTCAGGACACCTGCATCCCGATACGGTGCTGACTCTTGCGTCACCAATCATCCTTGGCCGTGCACACTGATTGGCTGTCATGTCCGAAGGAGATGCGTTCCTGGCCCAGTCCTCGAAGAACGGATGTTCTGCGTCCTCCAACAGACATTCGGAGATAGCCAGCCCCCGCGGCCCCGTACCTTTCTCAGGTCTGATAGGCAGACCAGGGTCCTTGCCGGGATTGTAAGGTGCTGAAGGATCCAGGCGGACCCTCGTCCACGGATTCATTTCCTCCTTCGTCACCACAGGCCAACGAAGACTCTGCAAAGGGCGCTTGCGCCCCTGCTTCGACCCGACAGTACGGTAACGGCGCAGAACCTTATTACCCACAAGTCCCAGACCCCTGTGCGGTCAGGAAACGTCGTCGGCGATGTCTCGTCCGTGTCTCACACACGCGGATTGCGAAAGAAGCGGGTTGCAAGAGAGTACGAGGGGGAAAAGAAAAAAATTGCTCATGTTGCAACACCCGACCCCACCAGATTTG